CTGTAACAGAACAGAAGAAAAGACAAGATAACAACATATGACAGGTGTACCCAATTAAAAGTATCAGTGACTGCAAAATCACTCATACTACTAAGAGCAAGAGAATGACGGTAAAAGTAAAACATAAATTAATACAAATAAGATGGTACAGTCCAACAATGACGTCAAAGAGCAAGAAACTTTTCCCATCATTTGGTGTGGAACTCTAAGTCAAAAGATATAAATTTAAAAAGAACTGAGGAGCACCGCAAAAAGGAAACAGATGAGGGAGCTGTTCCGAAGCACGTAAAACAGTTACCACTTTGAAACAAGTTACAATAGTTGCAACAGTACCGTAGAAATTAACAATGTACCTGACACGATGAGACGACACGTACCAGTTAAGTTAGATGACAACGGCGATTATCAGAAATCAAAACAAATTATAAAAAAATGGAAACACAGTGACCAGCATGAATGCAAACAAATAAAAAAAGAAGACTGAAACTGAAAGCATTAGATTGCCATATATACAGCCATACTTCCGAAAAGCGTTTAATAACTGTAGAACTTTGTATTTCAAAAATTAACAGTGGAGCATCCAAAAATATCGACTGTTTGAGACTTCAGTCATTTCTATACAAGTCAAATAAAGCAGCTTATTACGTCCAGCTACAGCATTTGTTCATTTTTCTTGCACTTGTATAAAACATTTTGCTCTGTGCTGATAGCCCCTCACTCGCTGCAACTAAATCATCCAACTTTTCACCTCGTTCCAATACAGACTGGATGGTATTATGAAGCACCACCTTCGTTTCCTCTACTTCTTCCTGTAAGCAAAGCACAGATAAATGATTTCAGAAATCCACGAAAACCCAATATATCACTTTTGTTACTACTGTTCACTTATACCTTCCTTACATAGAAAATTTCGCGAAGAGTTTTAATTCTACATACCTGAACCCTGGTCATCGCATCTGCTTCACGTGGATTTTGCCACTTTGATAAGATTTCAGGCAACCCTGTATATTTGCAATCTTTTTCACTAGCTAATGAACCCTAGAAACAAAAAATACAAGGTAACATAGAAAAAGCGTACTGTAAAATGACAGCTCTAGATAATATACAGAAGCAAATGATTAATTCTGTAACGAAAACCCAAATGTAATCCAACATTTAGTTCACGAACGCAACTGAACCTAAATTCCTAATATTAATCTAAACAAGATGCTATTGTTGAAAAGTTTATTTACTCACCCAAACGGCTGCAGGTACCTTCGAAGTAAAATCATCTAAGACTCTTGTTAACATCGAAAATGCAACCCTTGCCTGATACTCAGCATCCGTATAACAAACCCCACATAAGCCATCTTGTCTAACATATCTGCAAAGATAAAAAGAGTAACTTCACATCGGTACTACTACTACAAACAGTAGAAACAAAATAGTAAAAATAAAAAATTATGCACTACTTGAGATGGCGAAACCAAAACTAACACATGGCAGAAATACTCGTTCTCTTTGACACTACTTCGACTGGGCACTGCAGACCTCTCTACTATTAGTTTCCCACTGAAAGACATAAATTCCTGCAATTCCAAGCAAATTTAAGTAAAAAAACAAGAACCACTTCACAGTAAAAAACATGACGAGTGAGCTAGAAAAATCAGCTGCTTAAAAAAGTAATCTCTAAAAAATCAAAAAAGCGCAATAAAACAGTGACTGACAAACAGGAGAATAACATAAAATTTACCTGAACTGACCCACGTTGAAAAAAACTAAAGTTTGCCAAGTCATATGCAGCCTTGAACTGTCTCACCCCTCTGTCGTTACTTTTGTGAAACACCAATATTGCAAAGACCTTCATAACCAAGGAGTTCTTCAAACGGTAATCCCAAAATACAAAAGCAGAAAAAGCCTATGCGGGAAGCACCTAAGAAACTTTTCACTAAAGAAGATTCGGAAAAATCAGGTCGAGCAGTAACGCACAAACTTGTTAATCTTCCGCTTTTGAGGCTTCGTAAAATCAAAAATTTCATCAGATATTTGACGAGTATGAAAGAGAAAAATTTATTTTTTTTTTAACATCAAAAATACTTTTTTGAAAATTAATAGGCCTTTTAAACCGTATGAATTCGTCAAAGTTGTTAACACTACTGAAGCGATGCTAAAACACATCTTTTTACGCCACAGCCCCTACAAATAACAACGAAAAAGATTAGCTGGAAACAAGAAAATATGTAATAAGCATTAGCCAGTTCCAACTACATTTTTTCCAACAAAATGTCCCAAGCAATATTTTATACCCAACAAAATAACAAGAATGTTAACAAAAATAACAATTTTTTACTACGAAGTGAACACTTAAAACGTCTAATTTATGCTTGAAAAAGTGATAAAATAAATTCAGAACATACAACAACGTAGATTTTCAAAGCATAGTTAGTCTCAGCAAAAAACGCAATGACTAGTCGACACTCGTCCAGAAGAAAAACACTCGATCAACCAAGCAGAAAAATTTTACACAATCAAAGTGGAAAGCCACAAACGGACTATAAAAATAGCTTCTGATTCAAGAAAGTAAATTTATTAAATGATGTATTTGAGATGAATTTAAGGTATCAAAGTCAAGATGGAATTATTCCAACTTGAATCAAATTCTTTTTCCGTAAAGCGCATAATATGCGATTTCGCGGCCTTGCGCATTGAATTCCTCTCCTCAGAAGTCAGTTTTAAAATTCTTTGTATACTATCAAGGTATTCTAAAAAAAATAAAACGTTATTACAAAAATGACTGCACGCAAAAGTATTTTGAAAAATATCCAACTACAGCCTTTTAGCTGCCATATGGCTTTTAGAGCGCTATGATCAAGAAGCGTACCTTCTGCACTGCTCGAAAGGAATCCGAGTTTCGGATCCTTACTTTCTGTGATGATATCCATTTTAGGCCCTCCTAAAAAGAATCACTAGTGGAGAAATCATAAAATACAGACTGCCCAGCAAAGAAAAAACCCAACAGAAAGATCTCAAAAACATTCGGAACTTCCAACACAAAAGAAACAGCATTCTCACCAACAACATTTCTTAAAGAAATAATGCAAAATAAGTAAATAAATAAAAGTAGAAAACGCAGAGGAAGAGCGAGTTTTTAAAACACGTCATAAAGTTTCCTCGTTCTACTTAAATGAGCATAAATATTTCCTCTTTTCATAGATTTTATTAAGCTTCTGTTCAGTTAATGATCCACTAACTTAAAAAGCACTACACTATATAAAATTTAAAATGACCAAATACAGCAACGACATGAACGAAAAGATGCTAGTCTAAGCTTCCACATTTTTCGACTCATAACAGCCAAATATCTGTCCCCACTTCTCATTATCCATTTTTAAAAAGTAATGCTGAGAGCCAGAAAATTCATCAAAAAGAAACTACTTCTTCTAGACAAAAATCTGCCTTAAAAACGCGTGTTACAGTTTTAGCAACAAACTCCAACTTGAAAGTTCTCAGAGTAAAAAAGAACCTTACTCTAAAAACTCGTGAATGATTCAGAAAGAGTTGTTGCAAAATTTTTTGCCTTTTTTTAATTTCTTAGAAAATAAAATGTAGCGCCTCAAATGCTGAAGCGTATCATCCTTTGTCTCACTAAAAATAAATGGTCTCTAATTAGCAACCAAAAACCTATTTTTTAGTAGGACTCATACAAGATCCTATATCTGAAATGAATAATAATGTTCCCAAAATATCCTAAATGTTACCAGAAAGATATGCTGCTTTGAGAAATAAAAAACACTATTTTTGAACAGTGTAAGCCACTACCAGAGCAAGCTTTTGCAAAGTTACCGAAAAACTCCAATTCAAAACACAAGGGAAATATGACAAATTTGCAATCCAGAAATCACGATTTACAACATGCATAGCACAAGGATTACTATTCAACGGTTGACTATATCTTTAGGTACTGTGCAAATAGACTTGAAATTACAAAACAAAAAACAGAACCTTCCTATAAAAGCTAGAAATTCATTAAAAAATTGGGCAAAAATAATCTTCAATGTTGTTTTAGAAAAAAATCTCAAGAAACATGCAACTAACAGAAGCCAAGAATACCAATGGTAGCTTAAGCGAAAATTCAGAATAACCTACAGTTAAGCGATACACCAAAATGAATTATAAATTCACGAATAAGAGAAACACGTCCATTTCCAACAAACCTGAATTGTGTGCAACCATAATTAGGCCAGCTGCAAGTCCCTCAACGACAGAAATCCCGAAATGTTCATTATTCATCGTATGAATGCCAATCAAAGACCTCTGAGGAAAAAGTGGCAATAACGCTGACAGCAGATTAAAATATAAAAACACAAAAACAAAAGTTTCTGCCAAACCTTTGAATAAAACCAATCCAACAATCGCAACATAAAAAGATGAAATACAAATATAAAGAACCACGTGTACCTCCAGCAAACCTGAGAGCCTTTCAACAGGAACGTTCAAAGCCCATTCCAAATCATCGGCTGTTAGCCCCAGAGCTTCTGCGTGAATCTTCAACTCTTTCACCCGCGCATTATCTTCCTCATTTCGACAACCGCCACATATCACAAAATGAAACTAAACGTGCGTATAAGCTCAAATAACTAGTCATTTTCCTAACACAAAATAAAAAAGAATTTTACACTTGCTCATAATTTTCATAGTACCATCACTTGTAGGTTAAAAGAATAATTGCATAATAAACTCGAATCAATTTTACTCCATCACTGCCATCAATGCTGTTGCTACCTCCTTTCTTTTTCTTGATATATATTCATAAAGAGTTTAAGAAAAACCTTCAAATCTTGTCGGCTATCCAACGCCCACTCTTTAACCTTACTAAAAACTCGAAGTTGCAACTCATGATTTTTCTCCGGCCTGATTTGACTTACTGATAGAATTTGGACAAACTTTTCTTCTTGTAACAGTGATTCTGCATTGGAATTTCGCCTAAACCAGTAAACTTCACTAAAAAAGCCTTAACCAGTACTTAAAGAAAAGCTAACAATTGGAATTTAAAAGGTCTGTACCCAACGGAAAAAGGAACTGAATTCAACAATGATCGTCATTAATTCGGCAAGCCAATATAATTCTAACCAGCGACTATATCAGAGCTTACATCCCTTATTTTTTTTCAAACAGACAAAGAATGCAGAACGATATAAGAATAAAAACAGACGCACACATACTTCATAAAAAAATCAACGTCACAAGGGGGGTAGACGAGGAAAGTACGCGCCGGGATTTTCCACAAATTTACAATATGGTTTTTTGTCCAACTATAAAAAAAGGCATTAAAATAAAAGCTAAGACTTACAAAGAAAAAAACCCTTGTACCAGCGTTTGAAAAAAAACAACATGAAAATGAAAACCACCTTCCATTAACCATGACAGCTTCACTGGATATACCACAAACGCGATAAATAATTGTACACAAACGGTAGTATAACACCTTCAGAGTAGTTGAAAAATTACTTCTGGCAATCCATTCTGGATTGTTAAAAGCAGGTTTCCTACTTCTTACCCCTTCTATCATATCTAGACAGTTGTACCAAACAATAGACTGGAAAGCATTACAAACAAATACCTAACTAAGTTTATAAACTAAGCCAACTCATAAATGTTAGAGAGGAAAGAAAAATAGCTTAAAGCTACACAAGACTAACGTATTTCAGCGAATAAATGGTTATATTATTTTGTTTAGTAACCTATAATCTTTACAAAATAATGCTTTAAAAATACCTGAAGATATAGTGGGATAATGCACGTAACATCCCACTCTTGCTCCAGCAATCCACCTGAAAATTTTCATAATTATTTTTAGGAATACAATCTGTAGCGAGAAATCAAAAAGCAAATTGTAGTTCAAGTGTGAAGAAAAAAATTACTTTTCTGAGTAAAATGAGATAGAATATATAAAACACTGAAAAAAATCAATTCACAGAATTCGTAGAAAACTTTTAGAAATTATGCAATTCCAAAATGTACGGCACTATGTATAGAACGAACTGGAATTACAATTTATTTGCCCTCCAAGTGTCAAATTATAGTTAAAAAAAGCAATATAATACTAACCTGAAAACTGGCAAAGTCATAGGATAACCCATAGTATCTATGAAAACTTCCGGATTACACTTGAGTAGCGCCTCCATACCAACAATAAATCCTGCTAACATTTGCAACAAGAGAGTACAGTAAGGATACATAGAAGCTTCCAATAGAGGACGAGTTCTGAAAAAAAAAACTCAGTAATTTTCTAAATTGTCACCAAATCTTTCACAATAAATCCAATACACAATGAATTCTAAGAGATATACCAACCGCAAACGAATACATTCCAAACTTTTAGATGAAACATCCAGGTTAAAACGTTCTTTTACGTTCTTTAAAATCACTTCCGCATCTTCTTTATCTCCAGTGAATATGACAAATCGCAATGGAGGCCTATCACACCTAAAAAAATAATAAACTATTGGTGATGAATACTTACGCCTATCTGTGAGAAATCAAAAACTTTCTGCTATGTGTGATTGAGCTAGGCATAAAAGGTCCTAAAATCTAAGTTTCATACTGTTGGATATAACTGTACAAGTTGATGAAGCAGCGGTTGATAATTAAGCCTCAAAAACAAAGACAAAATAAATAATTCTGAAAATTATCTAACAATGCCATATATTGAATTTTGCAGTGAATAAAAACAGGAAAAGTTTCTTTTATGGTAGTCTAATTTTTGGTGTAAAGTTAAACTTTTTAATCTGGAAGAAATATACAGCAATAAAAAGCGATACGCTTGAAAACATCTCCTAATTTCCCCCGATAAGAAAGAAAAAAATTAGAGAATGAGGAGGACGGACGAGAGTGACGGTTAACTGTGAATAAAACGTCATAGCAAATAGCAAAAAAACTACTAGAAGACTAGCAGAAAAAGTCCTCAAAACTGAACTATACTGTTCTAATTCTACCATATCATAACGACAATGAATATGTACCAAAAACAAAAAAATACCCTTCCCTCTCCCCTCCTCTTTCCAAAATAAAACAAACTGCACTTCTTTATTCCCTAGAAGTTTCAACTTATATGAAAAAAAAAAAGAAGCAATTTTTCCTTTTCTTCAAGAGCCTCATGATTACCGATAAAGTTTAAGGGTTACGTGTTCAAAAAAAAAAGTGCCTGCTTTCTTTAACTCTAAAAAAGGTCTCCAAATTGCCCAAATTATCACATCAAAAGTTTTATTATTATGAGACGTTAAATTCTGTAAACCATACTCTTAATGTTTGCCTGTTCCTCTGTCATAATTAAATGCACTCGATTATCGTTAACACTTATTGAAAATCCACAGTCAAAATTCAAAAAGATATACCGCGGTATCATGCATATTTTTGCTTCATTTAATCAATTAAAAATGTTCCATCAAGGATGTTTCGTCTATGATATGTGGGAATGTGTGCGGCTGAGGGAAAAACCATCCTAGTTTTTCTGCAACAATGATTAAACGAACAAAGCAGCAGGAAAAAACCATTGACAATTAACCCGTTCTTCTTTTTTTTTTTTT